GCGGCAGCCGCAGTTTCAGCCTCTTGCAAAACTTCAACGAGCCACTGCTTCCGAGTTGTGCGCGATGCAGCTCGCATCTCGCGAATTCTGGCTTGAAACTGACACCTGCGTGGTATGAGCTCAGCGCTGCTCTGGAACTGTGTGCCAACTACAGGCTGTTGCATGGCTGCACGGGCATCCCACATGCTCTGTATGCTCTGCTGGACAGGTTTAGTAGGTTCAGGTCTCTGTGTGGAGTGCTGAGTTGTCGGAAACAGTCGCTGACACACCTGAAGAACCTTGCGATTAACCATCGTGAGACTACCAGAACCGGTATGAGAAGAAGCAATGTTGGAAACAGCAGCCTGAAGTTCAAGGGCACAAGGAGTTCCAAGCTCAATATGCTGTTTCATAGCATCCAAACAAGAGCGTTGCTGAACAGGTTTCGGTTTGACAAATGTCCATCCAGCTGCCCACTTCAGGCTCCCACAAGCCGGGTCCAAGACGCCAGGGAACCAGGCAGAACTCAATAGGCGCCACACTTTTGGCAACCGAATCAGCAGTCAACCTACGCGTTCCCAGAAAATCCAGGTTCCTTTACTGAATGCATGCGAGCGCCCAGCCGAAGATCGGCCCCACGTGTTCAGCAAAGTGATCTGATGCATTTCCAGGACGGCTTCCAGCTCTGGGTCAGCCCGATGAGTCCAGGTTGACTTCGTACCTTGGTATTAAGGTCCAGTCCCAGCACCAAGAGGTGTCGAACAGGCAATGTGTGAAGTAGACCACTGAGCTTTTCCCAGAAAACACCGCGACGTCTCGCAATCTCCTCCCGATTGTTCTCTTGCCACACGTGTTGATATCCAGATATATCCAGGCAGCCTGCCGGGTATGATGACATTGTAGCCGATCTGATTATCACTCGCCATTTTGGGGCTGAGGAAAACTCCAACCCCACAGTATCTATGTGTAGGATCCGGACTGATCAGCGCAGTCCAGGATCCAGTCTGCCAGCGATTTTCGGTTTTCCCACATCCGTGATGCATCTCTTGCAGAATGACAATGTCCGCTTGGTCCTGTTTGACAAGCCAGTCACAGAAGACGTCACAGAAACCACCGACGTTGTGGGTCATGACACGGAGTCTATTACCAGTCTGTCGCTTCGCTGGCTGACCGGGGCCACCAGTCGATGGAACCGGTTGAGCGGTGGTGGTACCCAATTCGCTAGCTGAAAACCACCTTCCTCTATAAGTTGCTCCACCCGCCAGTTCGGCTCTCCGCTTTGCGCGACGAAAAGCCCGTTTGCGCGTCTCAGAAAATTGAGCAGCTGTGCGGCCACCCTTTCCAGGAATTTTCGCCACCGAAGTGACTCCCAGATCTCGTGTGAGTAAAGATCTAACCCTCGGGTCGGTCCCCTCTGTCGCCGATCGAGGCCCGACTTCTGATGGCGAAGGAGACCGTCGGAATTGGGACTGACGCGGCTGAGCCGTGGTCATCACGTTCAGTGCACAGAGCAGCTGCAGGCAGCAAGTCACACCAAACACAGCTCGCACAACCATGTCGAGACGAAAACTACCAGCTTCTCTCGTTCGCTCAAGCCGAGACCCTTAGTGTTAGTGGTAGTGGTGTAGTGGTGTAGTGGTGTAGTGGTGTAGTGGTGTAGTGGTGTAGTGGTGTAGTGGTGTAGTGGTGTAGTGGTGTAGTGGTGTAGTGGTGTAGTGGTGCAGTGGTGTAGTGGTGTAGTGGTGCAGTGGTGTAGTGGTGTAGTGGTGTAGTGGTGTAGTGGTGTAGTGGTGTAGTGGTGTAGTGGTGTAGTGGTGTAGTGGTGTAGTGGTGTAGCGGTGTAGTGGTGTAGTGGTGTAGTGGTGCAGTGGTGTAGTGGTGTAGTGGTGTAGTGGTGTAGTGGTGTAGTGGTGTAGTGGTGTAGTGGTGTAGTGGTGTAGTGGTGTAGTGGTGTAGTGGTGTAGTGGTGTAGTGGTGTAGTGGTGGAGTGGTGCAGTGGTGCAGTGGTGTAGTGGTGTAGTGGTGCAGTGGTGCAGTGGTGCAGTGGTGCAGTGGTGCAGTGGTGCAGTGGTGCAGTGGTGCAGTGGTGCAGTGGTGCAGTGGTGCAGTGGTGCAGTGGTAGTGGGAGTGGTGTAGTGGTGTAGTGGTGTGTGCAGTGGTGAGTGGTGTAGTGTAGTGGTGTAGTGGTGTAGTGGTGTAGTGGTGTAGTGGTGTAGTGGTGTAGTGGTGTTGGTGTAAGTGGTAGTGTGTGTAGTGGTGTGTGGTGTGTGGTGTAGTGGGGTGGTGTAAGTGGTGTAGTGGTGTAGTGGTGTAGGTGGGTGTAAAGGTGTAGTGTAGTGGTGTAGTGGTGTAGTGGTGAGTAGTGGTGTAGTGGTGTGTGGTTGGAGTGGTGTAGTGGTGTAGTGTGTGTGGTGTAGTGGTGTAGTGGGTAGTGGTAGTGGTAGTGGTGTAGTGGTAGTGGTGTAGTGTGGTAGTGGTGTAGTGGTGTAGTGGTGTATAGTGGTAGTGGTGTAGTGGTGTAGTGGTTAGTGGTGTGGTGTGTGTGTAGTGTGTAGTAGTGGTGTAGTGTGTAGTGGTGTAGGTGGTGTAGTGGTGTAGTGGTTGGTGTGGGTAGTGGTAGTGGTAGTGGTAGTGGTAGGGTAGTGGTAGTGGTAGTGGTAGTGGTAGTGGTAGTGGTAGTGGTAGTGTTAGTGGTAGTGGTAGTGGTAGTGGTAGTGGTAGTGGTAGTTGGTAGTGGTAGTGGTAGTGGTAGTGGTAGTGGTAGAGTGGGTAGTGGTAGTGGTAGTGGTAAGTGGTGGTGGTGGTGGTGGTGGTGGTGGTGGTGGTGGTGTGGTGGTCGTGGTCGTGGTCGTGGGGTCGTGGTGTGTAGGTCGTGTAGTGGTAGTGGTAGTGGTAGTGGTAGTGGTAGTGGTAGTGGTAGTGGTAGGGTAGAGGTAGAGGTAGAGGTAGAGGTAGAGGTAGAGGGAGTAGAGGTAGAGTAGAGGAGAGGGAGTGGGATGGGAGTGGAGTGGGAGTGGGAGTGGGAGTGGGTTGGGGGAGTGGGAGTGGGAGTGGGAGTGGGAGTGGGAGTGGGAGGGATGGGAGTGGGGTGGAGTGGGAGTGGGAGGGGAGTGGGAGTGGGAGGGAGTGGGAGTGGAGGGGCAGGGGCAGGGCAAAGGCAGGGGGCAGGGGCAGTGGCAGTGGCAGTGGCAGTGGCAGTGGGCAGTGGCAGTGGCAGTGGCAGTGGCAGTGGCAGTGGCAGTGGCAGTGGCGTGGAAGTGGAAGTGTGGAATGTAAGTGGAAGTGGTAGTGGAGTGGTAGTGGTAGTGGTAGTGGTATGGGTAGTGGTAGTGGTTGGTGGTGGTGGTAGTGGTTAGCGGTAGTGGTAGTGGCAGTGGTGGTGGTGGTGGTTGGTTGGTGGTAGTGGTAGGGTGTGGTGGTAGTGGTGTGGTGTGGTGGTGGTGGTGGTGGTGGTGGTGGTGGTGGTGGTGGTGGTGGTGGTGGTGGTGGTAGTGGTGGTGGTCAGGTGGTGTGGTCATGTGGTGGTCAGTGGTGGTGGTCAGTGGTAGTGGTTGGTAGTGGCAGTGGGGCAGTGGCAGTGGCAGTGGCAGTGGCATGGCAGTGGCAGTGGCAGTGCAGTGGCGTGTGGCAGTGGCAGTGGCAGTGGCAGTGGCAGTAGTGGGTAGTAGTCGTAGTCCTAGTGGTAGTAGTCGTAGTAGTCGTAGTAGTCGTAGTCTTAGTCGTAGTAGTCGTAGTATCGTAGTAGTCGTAGTAGTGTCGTAGTAGTCGTAGTAGTCGTAGTAGTCGTAGTAGTCGTAGTAGTCGTAGTGTAGTAGTCGTAGTATGTCGTAGTAGTAGAGTAGTAGTCTTTTCTGAAGGCTGCGGGCGATGAAGCTAACAGCGTGCATCAGCAAGCCCACCCCGCCACCCCCCGCTGGAATCACCGAATGTTGAAGCTAGAACCCTGAAAAGCCTGAAAACACGCATGTGGCATGGGGCCGCCAGAGGTTGCATAAGCGTCAACAAACACATTCATAGCATAGAACTTGACAAGAATCCCACGCATGCGATGGGCACCACTCTAGGTTTATTGCTTTCGAAGTCAGCACCATCGAGTTGAACAGGAAGTTGTCCTGAGCCACGCCAAAGCAGTGGCTAAGCCTGCTCCCTGATCCATGCAAGTCAGATGGCCTAGGCAAATGTGGATCCCAACAACTTGCCGCGCCATGTGGCATCATTCCGCATGTCACTCAGCTTGAAGTACTGGCAGAGTAACAGATACGCAGCGTCACTAGGTTCCTCTTCACTGCAGTCTTGGCACATTCTTTGGACTGGCACAGTGGTGAGAATGACGCTCGAAGATGTAGTCCGGGGAGGGTGTTCGATCAATACGGGAGCCGAGACGAGTCTGGCTCAGATCGTGAGGATCCTTCTGAGCCTGAAACGGATGCTCTAACTGTTACAAGACACGGCAGACGGCAACTCAACAGGCTGTTTCTTGCCTTACCCTCCCAGCGTATCTCTGGGCTGCTGGAGCGGGCCCGATCCCCTCTCAAGGAAAGATCCGAGCGGACGATTGGAAGGAAACTCTACGCTTGCAAAGCTATCTCCGTTGCCAGCCTGTTGTGGAAGAACTGCAGTCAGAACCTGAAAGTTCAAAGCAGTGCTGAATCCTGCACACAACATTGCAATTCCAGCGAATCAACTAAATCTTCCTGAACCTCGTTCCCATATCCGAGCCTCTCGTTAGCCTCTACGACCGGTGTACAGACGTCCATACACTTACAGAAACGCGTCATTGATGTCACTAACGTGCACCAAGTGCAGCTCAGCCACCACTCATGACCGCAGCGCAGAGATCGAAGATCGAAAAGATCGAAGGGACGCCCGAAATGACAGAGCCAGGCTGTGCCACCGTGCCAACACGAGGATCGCAAGACATTGAAGCACGCAATCAGCTTGAGATCTTCCGGGCTTGTGTTCTTCCAGGGTGATCTTCAAAGCGTGCATGCCTACATATGGTGCATATCTGAGGCTCCCACCTTGTAGAGCCGCAATGTGGGGTAGGCATCGATGCCTTTTTCCACACAGGTCTCCTTGAAGTCCACACAGTTCAGCCTCCAGTCTGTACACACACTCTCGTGCTGGCAGCAGGCTGAGCATGATTTCCAGGCTTGATCAGCCGAATGGGACGCTCGATGCCATCCTTGTCGGGAAACTTCATGCCTTCGCAGCCAGACGGCAACTCCATCGCAATTCAGGGCTTCTACAAGTTTTTGCTGGCCATCTCAAGCAGAAGCAGGTCAGTGCGCAGATGCTGGGCCTCACCCGTACTTGCAGGCGTGTTTCAATATGCACTCTCACAGCTGGTTTCGGTGATCCAAGCAGTTGTGATCAAAACATGATGCCCTGCGATGCTTGCGACTGCCCTGTGTAGCACTGTGGAAATTCCACCGGCGACTGATGTGAAGGGTGCTGGTTGAAAGTGAAGAGAACCTTCCTTTGCACTTCAAACCCTTGAAGCAACAAGCTGCAGTGCTGCAGGCGCAGCCCTCATATCGGTCATGGGGTACACATGATTCATCCGCCCGAGACAGCAAAATACGTAAATAAGGAAGCCATGCCTGGAGCATCACCTTTGCCGTGGACCTACCGAATTCCAAAATCACTTCGGAAGTCTTCCGTCGCAGCGAAGGGGGGAACATCAGGAAGGGGCCCGCTCGGCTCGCCCGCTCCTTCTCGGCAATTTGGTCCCACTCCGGGGCGAACTTCTGGCAATGACTGCACCTCCGCTGAAACCGCTGCAACTATTCACCCGCCTTCCTCCACACGCAAAGATTACCCAACACCATATACTACCAACTTGGCAGCTCTGCACTGGCACTGGAAACCAAGAATCTGCAGCTCCGATCCACGAGCTGAGTCGCGGCACCATCCAGCAAAGAAGTTGATGAAAGTGAAATCATGGCCCTAGAATCCAAGACATCATGGAATCATGGTAATATCACATGACGAGGCTCTCGAGCCTGAATGACATGCTCGAAGCTTTTGTGTTTGAAGCCATCGTGTGAGGAAGACCAATCGGAATCGATCTCCTCTAGTATCGGAATTGAAATGCGTCACGGGTGATACGTGTGCAGAACAAACTCTCTCTTGTAGCCCCTCCTCCGCGCCGTCCTCCTGCCTCACTTTTCGCCTCTGCAACACCATGTAGGGTGGCGAAACCGCAAGCACGGGATCGAGGCATCTAGGCATCGTGCATGACATTGTCATGGTTATCTTCTTCTTGCTCCTGCCATTGATACTCCTGCCGCTTGCCGTCAGGACCAAAGGCGGTGCACTGGCGCGGATGAGATCGAAGAACTACATTTGCAGGACTACTACGTCCGGCAATTTGCAGTCATCCACACGTCCACACGCATCATGACAACTTCGATTCTTACGTGTCCTGGGGCTTTATCGAAACTCCGAAAGTCTTCCCGGAAGCGTCAATGGATCGCAGCCAGAAATCTTCGCCGAGCACGCCTTGGGTAGGAAAGGAAACCAACAAGAAGCAGAGGTTTATATGCATGATTCACGTCGAGCGATGACGAGACTCTGAGCTCTAAGTCCCAGTATTCTAGATATCTTTAGAAATACTCTTTAGTCTTCTTCCAAAATGGATTGAAAAACATGTAAGCCCCAGACCAAGTTTCTCTTTGCCGTTTTGAGCCTCAGCCGTAGCCGTGGAGGCTCATGCCACAGCTACTGCTACTACCACTACTGCCACTACTACTGCCGTTACTACTACTGCTGCTACTACTACTACTACTACTACTACTACTGCTACTGCTACTGCTACTGCTACTGCTACTGCCATTACTACTACTGCTACTGCTACCTCTACTACTACTACTACTACTACTACTACTACTACTACTACTACTACTACTACTACTACTACTACTACTACTACTACTACTACTACTACTACTATGACGACGACGGCGGCGACGACAACAACAACTACTACTACCACCACAGCAACTACTACTTGTTGTAAACGCCCGGCGTAACGGCGAATGGGCTGGGGATCGGCGCATCGATGCATTTCGGTTTTCGCCCCGTGTTGCATGCACACTGACATGCCACATGTATAACAACAAGCCTGGAGCAGATTTGGCAACATGAGTCGAGTACAATCAGGGCTTCAAACCAATCAAATGCCAGAGGCCCAAGCATAAACAACGACTTGCAGGTTCCGACACTCGATGTCATGCACATCTACGTCGAAGTTGATCCTCACAAGCGGCAACTCGCCTTCAAGTCTGAGGCTGAGGTGATCGTCTCGCGCACCACCGACCAGAACCCTCACATCTGAGCACTGTGCTGCAGCGAATCGCTGCCTGCTTTGTCCAGGGCCATCATGGTGGTGTACCCCGGGCTCTGGCGAATGAGATCACACCCAGGCACATATGCAGGCATAGCGCAAAACCGAATGTCAAAGAAAGCACTCAGCGAGCGTGTCGCACCATGAAGGATGCCAGCTCGAACAGGAAAACTACCAGCATGATGCCATACCTGAACTAGACAGGCCGCAGCTCCGGGCGTTTGGCAACAACGTGCAGCTTCCTGTCAAGCCTCCACTGTTGTTCTTATATTGTAAGTTTTGAGCGTAAGCCCCTTGCGCGATGAGCGTCCAGGCGCCACCGATCTGGGATGCCTCTGCAGGTTCAGGCAACGAACCTTCTCTATGCGAAGAGGTACATAGGCACCCGGATGGCCTCGACGAAATCCCTGGGGAGCCATCGGGCTGCATGGCTCGAAGTGAGCATCCCTGGTGTAGGAAATGTCTCTCTGCTGTGGCTCTAAGCAGTCGACAGATGATTTGACGACCTTTCTACAACGGCTGGGCTGGGCGGATGAAGTTCGGGTCTCTGTCTGTCGTAAACATGCGCTCTTCACATCCTCAGTCGGGCCCACTGTCTGCAGAAGCGAAAAAGCATCTGAGAAGCTGGAAGCAACTCCAGACTGTCAAGGCGACACAGCTGCTGAAGCTTGGATGCAATGCCCCCGAGAGCCTGGAAGCCTCTCCCGGCACTGTAGAGGCCTGCAGCACGAGATCGGCTGTAAGAGCTTGACGGCACTCATCGGTCTTGAACTGACCTCTCATATGCTGGAACCCATCCGCCTCGGCTTCACAAACTGTTCCTGCCTTTGATTCTTCTCATGCCAGACGTAGGCAATTCTCTCGTAACCCTGCTCGATCTTATGACCCTGAAAGCTGGCACCTACAACAAGTAGTTGTTGTAGACATGTTCGTCGTTGGAGGCTCGATTGTAAAAGCAGCACAGGTGCCTGTGAGTCCCTTGAGGCGATTTCGATCGGATCCTCCAGAGCTCTGGCTTCGGCCAACAGCCTTCACACTGACCAGGTTTCTCTCCTCGACACGCTTCGGCAGCATGTCACGGCTCAACTTGCGCGCTGCTCGGACGACCTGAGGCTGACAGCATGACACTGGCGTCTGGCCAGAACTCCCCATTTTTGCTTTACAGTTCTGAGGGCTTCAAGCCAGATGCCCCTTTTCGAGCTTCTTGTGTCACGAAAACTCCGCTCCAGCCCTCCCATCTGCTCTTAGGCCCTAGGCCTCACGAGCGAGCCGGTCCGGGCTTGCTGCACGCGTCGCTGGACCCTGGAGTTTGCCACGGTGCAATCACCCACGAGCCCAATTAACTTCACAGGGGTGGTGCGAGCGGTGCTGCTCAAGTGTACCACATTCAACAGGTTTGCACGGAATTGTAAATTGTTCGGACCTCCGACTTTCAAGCCAACATCAGACATGAACTCCGCACCAAAGAGTCTGTTTGCTCCGGGCCCCTCAGACTAGACGATGGTTTACCAGTCCGGGGAATCCACGAATTCACCTCCGCACCATTGGAAGAAGGTCTCTTCCTACACCCAGCAATTCAAATCATCAACTGCCCAGATCCCCTTTTGTGGTATCGATGGCCTCTTCCAAGCCGATGTCCCTAACTTCCAGAAGCGCATCGATGTTGGGCGTCTGACATTCGGGCTTGAAGGCTCCGTCCGTGCATGGAGCCATCTTCAACTCGCCAAAGCCTACCAGGCCAAAGCCACTTGAGCCTCAAAGCCTCGGCAAGTCCCGATGGTCCAGAAGCGCATCCACAAACGACCAAACGACAAACCAACAGTGGTAAGGGCCGTAAGGGAGCCTTGGCCCAATCGCGAGCCGCGTTGCTAAGCCGCTCCCTGACCGGCACATTGGCAGATTACTTTGGGACTTCGTGCTGATCAATCACGACCCTAGAGTTCACAGGTGCAAGTGCGAATTCAAGCGGCAACCACCCACATTTCCGGCAGCATGGACAGCGAATGGACGGCATCAGGACACACAGACACAAAAACACGCACTGTAGACTTTCGGCAAGAGCAAGAGGAAAGCTGAAAAGAAAGTTGGGGCGGGTTTGCTGTTGAATGTCATGTGTGCACAACGACTGTTGTCAAATTCTAATCTGGACACCACAAAGGACCTGTCCTTTTCTAATCTTGGCACTACAGGGGGCTCAAGCGCAGGTACAAGGTTGGATATCTGAGGATGATCAGTCCCTTTTCCCATGTCATTGGTAGCTTCGTTGGACACAGTCCCAGTGACGTGCTGTGTCCCCCTGCAGTCAAATCTCTGTTTCATGCAAAAGGCGAAGAAGGAGTGACCCTCTGTTCCCACATGGTAAGGAAGTCCACACATGCACGTACGTACGTGCGTGCACACAGTAAGAGTGTTGTTTTTGCCGTCGTTGCTTCTTTGCTGTCGTTGTGGGGGCGCGCACATGCACCCATGAATACCAACTCTTCAATGCCAGTCACACCGACCACAGCTTCACTGCGCGCGGCACGGACTATGGACATCACACCAAGGTGCAGGCCCCGGCTGAGAAAGCAGGCGAAGGACCTGCAACGTTGGACAAAGTCTGGTGCCCGCTGTCTCTACATTAGAGTCTAACTAATCTCATCGAATCCAGCCGCTAGCCGCTAGCCGTACTCTTCCGAAAGAAAAACCCAACCCCAACACCTGGATACAGATAGTGGCGCTTAATAAAGAAACGTGACTCGATGCATAAACAATCGAAAAACAGCAAAAAACAAAGGACGAGAAACACAGGTCACCACTGGGTCGTACATCTTTCAAGCAAGCCTTTGCCAAACGTGCGACCAGCCGCAGACGCCTGCACTGCAGCAACGCCTGACAAGTCGCTCCCAATCCTTTTAAGGATCTTTTGTACAGCGGTTCCGGCTGTAAGTCATAAGTCACAAGGCTTCTTATAAGGTTCTTATGAGGGTTTCCGAAAGGGTTGCTGCATGGTTTTATACGGTTGTTTCAAGGCCGTTATGTGGACAAGGAGACGGAGCTGTGGTTCCGGGCAAACATCCTGAATTTCGCGTCTGAAGCCGCGGCGACAGCTTAGAGACGTCAACTGCAAGCTGCATAAATTGTTGGGACATGACATTGGTTTGCTGCATCATCACCAACATCATCCACAACCCAAAACGGCGACACATCACGTCATAATTAGACTTGCTTTGTTGATCGAATTTTTTGCACGCGCACACACACACACACACACACACCTCGTCACATGGCTACGCAGCCTGAAAATCATGACTTGTGAACCCAATCACAACACGTGCGCGAAGGCATGAAAGTGCATCTCAGTTTGCGTAGTACTCAGCCCGGCCAAACTTGCCCAGGCAGACACACAAAGCACCCCTCATCTGAGGTTCCGACATCGCGGGAAACGCCCGCGGTCTTCTCGCAAAGTGCATTCGCTCCTGGCTCTGCTCGTATGTCATGTGATTCTCAAATTCCACAAAATTCGGCAAAGCATTGCTCAAAACAAATCATACTTCAGACCATTTCAAACCCCATACCATGTTCAATAGATGCAGCCCAAACTCGTTGTAAATTTGTAACTGTAACACCCGATCTATCGCTTCGATGTTGTCAACTCATTTGCAGCAGCAACAACAGCAAGCCAAACAGCATCACTAGATGGTGCGCAAAATGAACTCGTGCATGATGGAGGGTCAGACCATCGTTTCTGCTGTGCGAAAACGTAAACTTGAAACAGCCATGCGCACTGGACACCTATGCTGCGAGCCTTCGGTGAATGCAGTGGCCCCGTTGAAATCGGCGTTCAACTGAGCGGCTGCACATGCTTGCTGGCCGATCAAGTTTACTTGCTGTGCGCATAGACGTAGCTGGCAAGTATGGCAGAAGTTCAGGATATGCACAGTGCATGCTGTCATTGACTGCGGTTGCCATCAGCACACGGACACGGGTTATGTGACTTCGCCGGCGATTGCTGGAGACCCAGGCAAGGTGAAAGGCAGCGGCATCGACCTGCACAAAGCACGATTGACAACTATAAATTGGCATTGGGTTCCTTAGGTTGTTCATGTTGTCCATCCCAAGTGCGCCTCTTGGATTGTGGCCTCTGCAGACTTCCCCATGTCATGTGAGTGTCGCAACCGGGATACAATGACAAGATGCTGGATGCTGAATTGGACATCAAATGAAAGTCAATCTCATGCACGAGGCCAGCGTGGACATATGCAACGGCTGCTGGCAGCTGTCGAGCAGCCAATATCCGAATCTGAGGCATGCTTTATGCTTCCTGCTGGGTGATTTGTTGGGCACAGGTTCCAGAACTGCCACTAAAGAGAAAACCGGTGTGCTCGATGCTCAGACGACTGAAACTTACATGTTCTTTCTACAGCTTCAATATTACAGAATTACAACACTTCCAGGCTGTTGATGGGCTCATACAGAAGCAATGGGAACGGGCTGCTGAGGGCTTCACACCACCTGATCCCTGCTTGAGTTTCATTTACATGTGACATTCCACGATTCAATCTTCATGCATCCTTGAAAGCTTCTGATAATCCTCCGAGGTCAGGAAACACGCAGCCCAAGCAAAAAAACACTTGCCCAGCCATGCTTTCGGCCGTGCTTTACAATACATGTCCAAACAAGGTTAAACCTGGATTCACCTTAACTGGGGATGGAGCCTGGCGGTTTGAAGGTGCCTTGAGGGGCCGATAACAAGAAGTCTTTTCGACCTCGTGGTGGCAAAACAACATGGAGCAAAACTGACATTCAGGAGGGTCAGCACGAGATCTACCAAGACCGTAACAGAATAAAACGGTGAAAATCCATTCTCTCGGCACATTGCAAACAGAAAAACGGCTTGATTTGGTATAGTCTCGACATGCCTCAAGGCGAAGTTTGTTTCGGATAAAACAGATTCCAAGCTCAGCATACAACAAGTTACAATGCAACAAGTTGAAAAACAAAACAAAAATATACATGTCCACCACGAAAAGTGCAATGGAAAACGTTGAAAAAACAAGAACAACATCAATACGACGTACAAAAAAAACACCATGCAACAAAACAGAAGCCCAAATCCAAGGCCCCGGTGGCCGTTCTATTCCCGTCGGACAACGCATCACCCTCGTGTCTTGTTTCTTGGGAGTCGAATGGCAATGGAGCGCAGGGTGGGAGATGCAGCTCGTGTGGGCAGACATCCATGATCTCCTCCACACAGATTGCTGTGGCAGATTGCATCGAAAATACCAGGCAAGCATTTTTATTTTCCGCATAAAAATCTTTCCAAAGAAAACAAAACTCAGTTCCCGTGACATGAAATCATGTTCAAACTCAAGCCAAGACTAACATGCGTTTCTGCTGATGCAACGTGTTCCAAACTCGACTGCATGCAACTTGCTCCTACACGCAACTGATGCAAGCTACCAAACTCGTCGGTTTCTTTTCCAAGGAAGGGGATTTGCCAGTCACTGAGCTTCTTTCTTTGAGCATTCCTGTCCGAGCTGCTAACAGGTGAAAGAGCCGAAACGACCCTTCTGGCACTCTGGTGAAAACTGACTTCAACCCTGCTACCTCTCAGAATAGCCTTAGCGGACGTCCTGTCGGAGCAAAGCGAGAAAGTACTAACGGAAGGACTCGGCGCCAGGCGCAAGAGTCTCTGGGATCTTCATCATCCTCAATGCTGTAGTCTTCGCTGTCTGTGTAGCCGCTTGCCTGAAACAGCTGCCTGAAGCGTTCGCGGAACAGGTGACAGGCCACTCTCAGGCGTCGCTGACGCCTGACTCGCAGGCAATCTGCAACACAGATCCACACCTCAGGCAAACTGAGAAGGTCCGTCAAAGTCTTGGCCATCTGTTCCTCAGGCGTGGGTGGGTGGGCAAGAAAAATTTTCACTCCCAACTTCGGGATGCGCAGGTTCTGTAAGCCGAAATTTTCTCATCATAAAGATTCGAAAATTTTTCTCCCGAAAATAAAGGTTTGTACTTACAGCACGATTACCTTATTTTCCGCATAAAAATCTTTCCAAAGAAAACAAAACTCAGTTCCCGTGACATGAAATCATGTTCAAACTCAAGCCAAGACTAACATGCGTTTCTGCTGATGCAACGTGTTCCAAACTCGACTGCATGCAACTTGCTCCTACACGCAACTGATGCAAGCTACCAAACTCGTCGGTTTCTTTTCCAAGGAAGGGGATTTGCCAGTCACTGAGCTTCTGTCTTTGAGCATTCCTGTCCGAGCTGCTAACAGGTGAAAGAGCCGAATCGACCCACTCTTGGTCTGAGGAGGGAGGCATATACCCTTCCTTGGTCAGGCAGAGTTACTCCCGAGAGTGGTCTGGATGCTGTTGATGATGTCGCCGGCATGTTCGATCACACGCGTATCCGGGATACGCGCTTCCGGTCGAAGGCCTGTGAAGTCGAGCCTGGATGGTTTGTCTTCTTTCACTTTCAACCGCAGACGAGAGTCTCTCTGTCTAGCGAACTACGTGACCTTTCGCCACGGCTGCTCAGTGGCAGCAGAACTAAGTGTAACCCCTTCCCCATATCCTGAGGACACGAGTGTCTTACTCAGGACGGCACTGAGCGCTGACCCTACGTGGTTCTACATGGGGCCGAGGAACGGCTCCCAGAAAAACTACCCTAGCTGCGTCAGAGCCCTTCACTGCTGACCAGCCTGGTCGCACACACCAGGTA